GAGATGGGATGTAGAGCAAAGAGGGAGGTAGCTAAGGCAAAGCAGAAGGTGTATGATGAGCTGTATGGGAGACTGGACACTAAAGAGGGTGAGAAGGACTTGTACCAATTGACAAGACAGAGGGATCAGGTTGGAAAGGATGTGCAGCAGGTTAGGCTTGTTAAAGACAGGAATGGTAATGTTCTAACAAGTGAGGAGAGTGTGACGGAAAGATGGAAGGAGTACTTTGAGGAGCTAATGAATGAAGAGAATGAAAGAGAAAGAAGAGTAGAGGTCGTAGAAACTGTGGACCAGGAAGTGGGAAAGATTAGTGAGGGTGAAGTCCGGAAAGTTCTGAAAAGAATGAAGAAGGGGAAGGCAGTAGGACCTGATGACCAGTGGAGGTTTGGAAATGTCTTGGAGAGATGGCAGTGAGGTTTTTGACTCAAATATTCAATGGCATATTCGAGGGTGAGAAAATGCCTGAGGAATGGAGAAGAAGTGTGCTGGTGCCCATTTTTAAGAACAAGGGTGATGTACAGAGTTGTAGCAACTACAGGGGAATGAAGTTGATGCTTCACACAATAAAGATCTGGGAGAGAGTTGTGGAAGCAAGACTTAGACGAGAGGTGACTATCTGTGAGCAGCAGGATGGTTTCATGCCCAGAAAGATCACCACAGATGCCATCTTTGATTTGAAAATGCTGATGGAGAAGTACAGAGAGGGTGAGAAAGAACTCCATTGTGTATTTATGGATTTAGAAAAAACATCTGACAGAGTGCCAAGAGGGGAGGTGTGATATTGCATGAGGAAATCTGGAGTGGCAGAAAAGTATGTTAGACTGGTACAGGACATGTATGAGGACAGCAGGACATGTATGAGGACAGCATGACAGTGGTGAGATGTGCTGTAGGAGTGACAGATAGCTTCAAGGTGGAGGTGGGAGTGCATCAAGGATCAGCTCTGAGCCCCTTCTTGTTTGCTCTGGTGATGGACCGACTAGCAGATGAGGTCAGGCAAGAATCCCCATGGACTATGGTGTTTTCAGATGACATTGTGACCTATGATGAGAACAAGGAACAGGTGGAAGAGAACTTGGAGAGGTGGAGGTATGCACTTGAAAGAAGAGGAATGAAAGTCAGCCGTAGTAAGACAGAGTCCATGTGTGTGAATGAGATGGAGGAGGTGGAACAGTGAGGCAATAAGGAGCAGAGGTCACAAAGGTGCAGGACTTCAAGTACTTGGGGTTCACTGTCTAGGAAAATAGGAAATGTGGTAAAGAGGTGAAGAAGAGAGTCCAGGCAGGATGGAGAAAAGTTTCAGGAGTGATTTGTGACAAAAAGGTGTCAGTAAAGGTCAAATGAAAAGTTTACAAGACAGTGGTGAGACCATCTATATTGTATGGTCTGGAGACAGAGATATTGACAGAAAGACAGGAGACAGAACTGGAAGTGGCAGAAATTAAGATGTTGAGGTTCTCCTTAGGAGTGACAAGGATGGATAAGATTAGGAATGAGATCATCAGAGGTACAGCACAGGTTGAACAACTGGGAGATAAATTTAGAGAGGACACACTGAGATGGTTTGGACATGTCAAGAGGAGGGACCGTGGATATATTGGTAGAAGGATGTTAGAAATGCAGCTGCCAGGAAAAAGACAAAGAGGAAGACTAAAGAGGAGATATATGGATGCAGTTAAAGATAGGGATGGGGCCGATCCGATCCAGTATCGGTATCGGCCTCCGATACCAGCATAATTTACGTATTGAATTTTCCAATCCACCTGCCGATATTTCCGATCCATGATGCATGTTGGCTTCAAACTATGGACTGGATTTCCTGAACGGAGGCGTGTCTCATGAGCCCAGAGTAATAAGACCCTCCTCACATTCAGGAAATCCAGTTCATAGTTTGCAGCAGCTACAACGTGAGGACTGAGTTAGCAGCACTGTGGCTAACAGCTAACAAACTTTTCATCTAAACATGTCTCTGTGTGGAAGTATTTTACACTGAACAAGACAAGACAGCAACGTGCACTGTCTGCAGAGCCACAGCGCCACATTAAACCACGGTAAAGTTAGTTTTATGTTGGACCTTCGAGCTTCGGGGCTTCAGCGGGGCGCTGCTCTTTGCTCAACCCACAACAGGCGACTCGACCCCAACCAGCCACGTCCACTCTGCCCCGCTCAGTCTGCTCGTCTCTGAGGAGGGACAGACTGAGCGCGGCTGACCCAGATCAGGCTGCCTGCTTCGGACTGAACAAGAAGAAGACGTCGCTGAAACCACGGAGCTCTAATGTTCACAGAGAAGTTGATAAACTTCATCATGATTAATGACCGACCACTATCAGTTGTAGAAAACAGAGGATTTCACAGTTTGATACTTGCAGTCAAGATATAGTTTACCCTGCAGGAGATATTTATCAGTACAACAGTAGACAATCATAAAAAACATGTGATTTGAAAATTATATTAAAAACAATCAGCTACATTATAAAGTGATGTAAAATACTAAAAACAGGAACATGTCTGTTGGTTTATGCCACAAACTTAGCAGATGTTTAAAGCCATTTAACATTTAATTTAATTTTATTCATTTATTCATTCATTTAAAAGAAACAATAAAAAAAATCAAAAAGAAAACATTGAATGAAAAAAGTGCAGAAAGAAGAAAAAAATTCTTATATCTGCCCCTTATTTAAAAAAATATAAAATGACTTTAAACAATCACTTAAATTAATCACTTTAATATCCACTTTAAAACTAGGAATAAAAAGAAACAGAATTTAATTCTAACTTTAAAACTTATCCAACATTAATAAAACTTACCTCAAGTTGCCTTTTTGTACAAGCATGCATATATTTGTACAAATTGTACTTGAGAGCAGATTATTACAGCCTCATATAAAATCAATGATCATGATATCGGAACTGAATCGGTATCAGCCGATATTCAGACTTAGGCATCCGGATCGGATCGGAAGTTAAAAAAAGTGGATCGGTGCATCCCTAGTTAGAGAGGACATGGAGGTAGTTGGAGTGAGGACAGAGTGAGGTGGAGGAGGATGACTCGCTGTGGCGACCCCTGAAGAGGGAAAAACCGAAAGAAAAATAATCCTCACCCCCTCCCTCCCCTCCTACTGAGGAATTTCCATGGACTTTTCAGAGGACTCTTGTATTTTGCTTGGTGTGTTACCTGTTGTTCTGTCTGTACAGCACTTTGGTTGGCCTTGTTGCTGTTTTAAGTGCTTTATAAAGAAAGTGGTATGGTATAGGAGCTCAGCTGAATAAACATTCTATCATCATTTCAGGACTCTGGATTCGTCTCTGGTCGTCCTCAGCACCCCCCACCCCCCCGAGTGTGCACAATCTCTCCAGAGGGACCTGTTTGAACTGAGTGATTTTATCTGAACTCTGCAGTGCCTCTGTGTTGCCTCTGGCTGCTCAACTCCCTTGCGTTTCCCCCCTCCGCTTAATGTCGGTGTCATTATGTGCTCGCGTGCGAGATTTTTTTCATTATCACACTGTTGAGGTTAAAAGCGTGTTAGGAATTTTTTTTGTCTCCAAACCGTATGTGTTATTTTTCACCACTATTTATTTTCTGTCCAAACAGGTCTCACTTGTAAATGAGTCTTCGAGGCTCAATGTGACTTATCTGTTTAAATAAAGGTTGAATGAATGAATGAATATACGTCTTTGGCGTCCTCCTGAGACAGAACTGAAAGACACCTCTGCTCCCACACCCCCTATGTGTCCATGACGTATCCTGCAGCATGAGTCTCAGCAGGACATGAGGGCTCTCCAGGACCCGGTCGTTTTGTTGAAAATATTTTGTCGATTGTGTTGAGAGTCCTGCTGACCAGATCCATAATAGTATTTTTACTTCGAAAGATGTGTAACAGAAGCTCCGAGACACATACAGAGAGCAAAAAAGCAGGAGGAAGAGGAGAATAGGGGAGAGAGAGGAGAGGAGAAGGCATCCGCCTTGAGTGAGAGTGAGTGCAGAATACAGTACAGGTTGGTAACAATAGGAGAAACTGGAGACCCCATAGCACACCCATGTTTCTGCCTATAATATTGCTCCCCATATGTGAAGTAGGTTGACTGCAGGCACAGTTTCAAGAGTTGACACAGTTGTTCTGTGGAAAGTGTGGTCCTGCTGCTCAGAGTGGTGTCTGATTTTAATTTTAAACTGACCACCTCTACTGCATCATCAACAGGAATGCACGTAAAGAGTGATGTGACATCAAAAGAGACCATTGTTTCATCAGTCTCCATGATGACATCCCTCACCTTGTCCACAAAGTCCATGGTGTTCTGTATGTGGTGTCTGAGCTGCCAACTAAAGGGATGAGTACAGACGCCAGATATTTGGAAACATTGTAAGTGACAGAGTTAATCATGCTAACGATTGGTCTTAAAGGTACACCTTGTTTGTGGATTTTAGGTAAACCATACAGACTAGGTGTGGCCTCCCCTGGGTACAGTCTGTGGTACAGAAAACGGTCAATAGCCTTGTCCTGCTCCAAATGTTTCAGGCAATCTATTAACTTCTTCTTGTAACCACTTCCTGGATCTCTTTCTAGAGGTTCATAAGTGTTTAAGTCACTAAGGAGTGTCATAACTTTCTCATGATAGTCTTTCTGGTTCAAAATCACTGTGCACCTTCCTTTGTCTGCTGGGAGAATGATGATGTTTTTGTCCTTGCTGAGAGTGGTGAGAAGATCTTAGTTTCAACATGTAGCGGCGGGCGATTCCTTTAAACAACACTAGCCGTTAAACGGTTCCCTGTTCAGAGTCGAACTCTCCAGGAAATAGTCCAGATCAAAAGCTTATTCCTGCAACACAAACTGATTCAGTGAAGGAGAAATATGTTCATATTTTCATGTTTTCATTAAATGATTATTGAACTTTAGAATATTTGTTTGTTTTTTTAAACTTAAAAAAAAAAAGTTTTTGACTGAAATAAAAATCCACATTTTCTGTCTCCTGTCTGGTCTTTGTTCTCTGCTCTGGTCCAGGTGGTCTCTCCAGTTCCCCAGACCTCCAGCCGGTCCTGGTCCGCTACAGCAAAGACCAACGACCCACCACCCTGCCCATCCAGTCCTTCTCCTTCCACCACCAGTTCTCGTCCAGACCCGTCCAGCCCAAGCCTGTGCTGCCCCACCTCACAGGCTACGTCTCTGGGATGCAGGCTTGCTCCAGTTCTAGTTCTGGCTCTGGTTCTGGAGCTCCTGTTGGTGAAAATGCAGCTGAGACTGAGCACAGCTTCCAGGCGGGTTCTGGTGGTGCCGCAACCCTTCCCTTAGAGTCTGTCAGGCCCTCTCCTCTCGGGAGCTACTCCCCAGTTCGCCTGCAGGGGGTGCCAGGCTCTGGGACCTGTTCCACCTGCACCCCCAGCCCCCAGCCCCCACACCCCTGTCCACTCTCAGCAGGGCCTGGCCTGCTGCAGACACCCCCTACGGTAAAACCCGGAAGAGGATCAGTGGCGTTACCCCCCAGTCCTAGTCTGTGTCTGGGGGTGAAGAGAGGGATGGTCCCACTGACGCTGCCGGCGGTCCAGAGCCCGTGTTTCCACTGCGGACCTGTTCATAGTGGATCATTGAGCCTGCAGGGCTGTCTGGACTCTGGGAAACACACAGACCAAAGCAAAGGACCTGGAACCAGAACACACAATGGTAGGCAGTAGGGGTTGAACGAGTATATAAGTTTTAAACTCGACATTAACATAATAAAACCCGAGTAGAACTCGAGTATTTGATGACGTCATAGATCTCAAGATACAAAAATAAATAAATAAATAAAACCGCAAAAAAAGGTAATTATTTACAAAAAAAAAGACCAACAAAACATTGGGAGCGTATATTTTGCTCCTACCATTTATCAAACTGCAAATAAGTCACAGGAAAAACTAAACTATTAGTTTTTATTATTAAACTGCAAACGTGAAGAAACATGCAGCACGTCAAAAACGAAACTTAAACCGAAACTGGTTCTGGTTCGGTGGATTGGACCCGGTGTTACACCATACTCTGTGACCTGCAACAGTGCAACACCGCCCCCTACGGTCATACGGTGGTCACATAATATGACGTCACTACGGATACTCAATGTTACATTTTTAACCTCGATTGAGGTCCTAGCAATCGATGTGTAGATTACTCGAGTACTCTGTTGATGCCCTAGTAGGCAGCAATTCTCACACTTCTCATCCCCCCCCCCCCCCCCCCCCCCAGAAAACACTAAACAGATTGTGGACAGAAAGACTTGAACAGGAACTTGATGACGGTTTCATTTGACCAGTGGTCTCTGGTAGGGGTGGGCGATATGGCTCAAATATAATATCGTGATCAGTGTTTCCCCTAGATAACTTGCCATGGCGGGGCGCTCATCGTCCGTGATTTTTGTCCGGGGGGGGTTGAACGGAGACTCGTCCCAAGCTGCGCGTGCGCTGTTTAAACCAACAGTTTTCGAGTGGCGGGGGTGCGTTCAGCGTGAGGGTTCAACATGAAGGAAGAGGCTGCCTTTAGCTTTTTAGCTAGTGCACCTGCATTGCGAGCCACTAGTGCCGACAGGTGGGTGGGGGTTCAGTAGACGGGGCGCTCGGTTCTGTTGACGGGTCGGGGCGCCCCACTTGTATAATGGTAGGGGAAACACTGGTGATATTTCAGAACATTCTGACGATAACAATACATTTTTTGATATAACAATAAAAACAAACAACAGAAATCATAGTTATTCATTTGGCAAAATTAATTTAACATGGTGTTATAATAAAACTAAAAAAACAAAGGTTAATTTTACTGAAATTACTTTATTTAGTAAAGTATTCAGTCTACAAATATAAAAATAAAAAAGATCCTTCTGTTATTTAGATTGAAAAAGTCAGCACAAAATACAGATCAATAAATCCAACACAAAACTAAAGTGCAGGTGAAGTTTCCCAAAATAACTGAATAAAATGAATCTTAAGATCTGTTGATCATAAATGTAACAAAATATCTGTTTCTTTAAATGAGCTGTAACTTCCTGAAGTTGAAACAAGGTGATCATGTGACCCTGAAGCTTGAGACATCTAAACTGTCACTGTCTGTGGGGGGTGGGGAGGGGGGCACAGATGAGCTGTCTGTACCTGCACTTTAGACTGGGGGTGCAGAGACACAGCTGAGCCGTGCATTCTTTGTTTTTATCTTTTTAGCTAGCTGGTATTGCACGCAGCTAATTACTGGTACTGGTGGAGCATCTTAGCTTAGTGCTAAGCTAAGTGTGTGACACTGAGTGTGAGGCGCTGTGTGTTAAGGTGAAACGTCTTCCAAACCTCACACCTTCTTGTCCTCGAGCTTCGTGAGAAACGTCCTTTAGATGAGTACAGTTGAACACAAGTAAAACAGTCCAGTGGTGATGTTGTTTTTATTTTAATTTCTCTATGAACACAAATAGTGCCGACCTGTTGCTGTGTGTTAACGTGCATTAAAGTTGTAATGTCTTAAAAACCCACAGCTGAACACGTTTCGTGAGAAACATGCTTTAAATGTGTGGAAATAAAGGAAATCTAGGATAAATGTTGCTTTTTGTACACAACACTAGTGTACACTTTTGTGCACACACGGCAGCAGTGTGTCCCCCCCACATTACAAATACTTGTGATGGGTGGCAGCACAGCTGCTGAGAGATGTGCAGCTCTTGTTTTAGGTCAAGAATCAACCACCACATGGCGTTTTATAGACTTTACCTTCCTGTCCAACACACAGAGTGAAGCCCAGCGGTTGTCATGACAACTACCTCCCTCACTCATGGTGACTCTGCTGAATGGCCCAACACTAACACATAATGAACACATTAACTAGGCTAACAAGAACAGACTAATCACTAAAAGAACAATGCTAAACCAATAAACATCCAACTAAAGTTAGTTAAAATTTCCCGTAATCCCTCCCTGAAACCATGTGACCGACAGTCACAAAATGCTAACGTACACAAATATGCAGAGTAAATGTTTTTTTCAGAGCAGTGCCGCTAACACGGCTGGTTAATAAAATAAACACAGTATCCTACCAGGAAGTCATTGATTGCTAACTTCATCTTTCTTCCTGCAAGCTGCTGTGGAGCGGGAGGGGGGATAACCCCCTCCGTTCTCTCCTCCCCATTCCTTTAGTTCGACTGTGAGGGAGGGCAGAACGGGGAGTGGGGATTCCCTCCATGTGAGTGTCATATGCTGACTCTGCAGTAAGAGGACAGCTATGTGAGCGTCCGGGACAGAGCTAAATGTTTTTGGTGGCAGGAAGTTTGTTAAAACAACAAACAAACCATAAATTAGCTGTGGCATTGTATAAACCACGAGGTTTAAAGTCTGAGAAGAAAGTAGCAGCTTATAGTCTGGAAAATATGGCAGCCTATTCTTTTTCTGTCAAATCTTGTTCACAGATTTATGTAAATCTGTGTTCAGGGGACGACATGGGGGGTCTCTGTTTGTCCAGAAAACCTGTCATCACCTCAGACAGCTGGACCTCACCTGCAGGGTGTCCGGCCAACAACCGAGTCAAATGAACATGAATTAAAGTTGTCCATCTGCAACGGGTTTCATCATTTTGAACATTTGTAAGAGCAATGGGGGTGGAGACCAGAGCCGCATGAGCCAATGAGAGCAGAGCAGGGCGGGGCCTACTGTCTGATAGATGGCAGGTGACCTCTGACTCGGATACAGACTGCAGGTGGGAGCACCGATCACTTGTAATTGCCGTCCTGAACCATGAACGCTGTAACTCAATTTCATTGTCTCCCTGGCAGGGCGCTCATCTCTTCTGGGATTTTTGTAGAGGGAGGGGGGGAGTGGAGATGGTGGAGACCAAGACACGTCTGTGTTGCGCTGTTTGTACTAACAGTTCTTGATGTGGGGGGAGATATGGGAGCCGGCTCAGCGTGATGGAAACGAAGCATTAGCTTTTTAGCTAGCGCGCTTGTTATCGCACACCGCTAGCTTAGCGCTATGTCAGTGCTGGCAATTGTACATGGTGTGTGTGTGTGTGTGTGTGTGGGGGGGGGTGCGCCCTGCTTGTATAATCTATCCATCCATTATCTTTACCCGCTTATTCCATTTTGGGTCACGGGGGTCGCTGGTGCCCATGTCCAGCAATCACTGTGCGAGGGGCGGGGGACACCCTGGACAGGTCTCCAGTCCATCACAGGGACACATAGAGACAAACGAGACAAACAAACATTCACTCTCTCTCTCACACCTAGGGACAATTTAGAGTTACCAATCAGCCTAACATGCATGTTTTTGGTCTGTGGGAGGAAACCGGAGTACCCGGAGAAAACCCACGCATGCACGGAGAGAACATGCAAACTCCACCCAGAAAGGCCCCTGGACCGGGGTTTGAACCAGGGACCTGCTCGCTGAGAGGCAGCAGCTCTACCAGTTGCACCACCGTGCTGCCTGCTTGTATAATATTAGGGGAAACTGCATTTTATTCTGAGTTTCTGAACGAAGAAAAGCTCGGCTGTTCTCGTGCTCTGCAGCACTTTACCCACTCCCTCGTCCTTCCTGCTGGTTTAACTAAACTTTCCTGTCCTTCTGCTCCGACTCTTTTAAACATGGAGGTGTTCTCTGTAAAAACCACAGATGTTTGTAGAAACTTGCAGCTGCTGTTCGTGAGTTATTTGTTTACAGCTTCTGTATGTTCTTATTGTTTTCCTCTCTCGATTCATGCATAGACTCAAATCTTGTCTTTCCCACCTCTGCTTTTCTCTCTGCTCCAACCTGAACCCAACCCATCACAACCCCAACCCCCCCACAGCTCACCACCGCTCCCCCCAGGCTCTCAAATGGAGAGAATACCGTCGCCGAAACCCTCTGGGAGTGGAGAAGGGCTCTGGAGGCCACCCTTCCACCCGATCAGTGACCCTTATTGCTAACGTGGATCTCAGAAGGGTCGGGGGGTCCCGCCCCGCCCGACGCAACGTGTTCGATTTCCCCACTGCTGCGTCCGGCCACACACCGGGATGGACCAACGGTGCTCAGGGTTCTGTTTTAAAGAGCATAATAAACTAGACAAACTGCATTTTTCTGTGAAATCAAGATCAATGTTCTTTATTGTCATTCACATGTGGTACATGAGGTGGAACAACATCGTGTACACAGAGTCCCAGTTACATCCAACAACAGCAAAAATATAAAGTGTAAAAGAAACAGTAAATAAGGATCTAAGATATAAACTAAGAATATGCTAAACACTAATAGTTCAAAACAATACACCGAACAACAGCGGCACAAACATGAGCCTGTGTGAGCAGATGAGGATGAATGAACACAGCAGCATGAAATAAATCGACGGCATGAGATCAGCAGCATGAGATCAGCAGAACATATCAACAATCAAAGTGGCATTACAGTGATTCTTCTGGTTATAGATTCATGAGTCTAACAGCCTCAGGGTAGAAGCTGTTCCTCAGTCTAGTGGTTCTACACTTAATGCTCCTCAACCTCCTTCCTGAGGGGAGTGGGGCAAAAAGTGTGTGTGCTGGGTGAGTGGGGTCCTTCATGATGCAGGTGGCCCTCTTCCTGCATCTGGAGGTGTAGATGTCTGTGATGGTGGGGAGACTGACTCCAACATCTTCTGTGCAGCCTTCACCACTCTCTGCAAAGCTTTTCTTTCTGCAGC